TTTGCATAATTATAAGTTTGAAGATGTACCTGTTGTGAAAGGTGATAAATTTAGTCTAAGTTAATACCCCAATAATGATCTTGAGGAGGCATCTGTAAAGAATATACCTTATGTGAGTGTTGTTTGCAGTTTAATGTATACACAAGTTTGTACCAGGCCTGACATTGCTTTTGTAGTTAGTGTTCTTGATAGATATCTTTCTAAACCAGGATTAGATAATTGGGTGAAAGCAAAGAAAGTTATGAGATACTTGCAAAGAACAAAAAATTACATGCTAGTTTATAGGAGAGTTGATAGTTTTGAGGTGATTGGTTACTCAAATTTAGATTTTGTTGGGTATCAGGATGATTTAAAATTCACTTAAGGATATATTTTAATATTAGCTTAAGGAGCAATAGCATGGAAGAATGTTAAACAAACTCTCATAGCTTCTTCTACTATACAAGTTGAATTTATAGCTTGTTATGGAGCTGCAACACAAGCTATATGGCTAAGAAATTTTATTTTAGGACTTATGATTATTGATTCTATCTCTAGACCATTAACAATTGATTGTGATAATAGTGCAATTGTGTTCTTCTCAAATAACAACAAACATCCTAGTGGGTCTAAATATATGAAAATTAAATATTTTTCTGTTTGGGATCTTGTGAAGAAATATGATATTGTGATCGAACATATTGATATAGAATCAATGCTTGCTGATCCTCTAACCAAGGAAATGAGACATGTAACTTTTAAGAAACATGTTGACAATATGAACATTTTGGGTCTTTTGATGTACTTGGTTAGTGGGAGTTTATTTATGTCATATTTAATACTCATTATGGTTGAGATACATCTATTTGATGAATAATAAATATTTAGATGATTATCTTTATTGTTAACACGATATTATTGTTATGTTATATGTGTGCACATTTATGACATGTCAATTTATACGAAATCTTAAGGTTTGATGTATGTTTTAAGTATGACTATTTTACTAATGAAGTACGTCTTTAATTACACTATTTGAGAAAATCTTGAAATTTTAAGTTGGAGACATACTAGCTTATTGTTGAAGCTGATAGATTTCTCTAATTAACTGTTGAAACATGTTGTTAAAAAGAAATTATTTGAATGACTAACAATAAAAATAACATGTTTATCTTATTACATATTGAGATTTTATTTTCTTGTTATACTATCACATCTTGATCCATGTCAATAGGATTATTATTTTTGTATTCATGGATTGGTCCAATGTCAATAAAAGATGGAAAACCCATCATGGTTCGAAATAATAGTTTTATTGGATCAGGTTGTGTTTGAGATGTTGTTTTNGAAAGCGTTGCATTATGGAATGATTCTAATTGTTTCAAGTTGATTAACTATGTGAGTTTGGATTTATATGTATGAGTTTATATATACTCTTTTCTTATAAGTCGATTATTAAAAGCGTGTTGGAAGATATCGCCTTCAACTTGTATCAATGGCGAAGACTGAACCACTTGAAACATAATTTTGATCACTAAANAGTCATTTTTCAAACAAATAATTTTATTTTATTTTTTAAATGACTACAATTAATGTTATCCAAGTGGGAGAATGTTAACATTTTTTTCCATATTAGACTTCCATTAATTAATAGTTAATTTTTTGTTTGTAAAATACAGGTTGAATTTATGGTCCAATGAAATGAGCTCAATATTATTAAATGATCTATTTTGATGGNGGCGAAGACTGAACCACTTGAAACATAATTTTGATCACTAAATTATGTATTTTGTGTTGGTTTGGTCATAATCTTTCAATTGTGTCAATTTAATCTCGCAAGTATTTAATTTGTGTTAGTTTAGTGTAAATTACGATCCGCATGGACTAATAGTNTAAGTGTAGGTCTTAATCTAATTGTGATCCATAATAGGAGAGCCCATCAGATTTCATTATAAATAGCAAGTTAGGTCCCCTCTCCACTTTATAACCCTAATTTGACTTATCCCATTGAGAGCTGTCTACTGCTCTAAAGGAAAAGAGGAAGATCTTGCCCTTTTGTGAAAGAAGTTCAGAGATTGAGTATCATGATTCATACATGTATATTCTAAACCCTGTAATTTAGGTGTTCTAAATTTCATATACAAATTATTAAAATTTCTTATATTAAATTCATAATTTTATTAATTAATTCGTGTAAGTACCGGTAGAAGCCAAACACTTGTAAGAGTCGAGGGAAAAATTTTGTTCAAGCTTATACATTCAAATTTTGTGAAGACTTGGAGATTATTAAAACGTGCTTTGAGGGTACAAGACTATCCATCTATCAAATAGACCAGCAACCTAATAGTTTGACTTGGTGCCCTATTCTTGCATCAAATAGACCATCAATCTAACACTTCCTTGCATTCCAATTGTACAACCACTCTAAATTATAACCAGTTGTGCATATCATACGTCATCAGAAACATTTTTTTTTTCCAGAATGTTTTTTCCTTATTGTCTTAATTTTTTTCACATCAGTTAAACATGAGTTTTTTTACATGTATATGAGTTTTTAGGCATTCTCATGTTTATAAGCTTGTTGTCAAGGGTAACTTTACGCATGATTTATATAGTTTAGTGTGAGATATTGGTACCACGTGGAATATAGAATCGAAAAAATATGAACCGTAACAATGTGACTATGTGGTTGTTGTCGTAAAAGGGCGATCAATATGCTAAATTAATATTAGTGGTAAGCTTTGTGAGAAAAGGATCGTAATGCCAAACCAATATCAATAGAGTGGATCGGACCTATATTGACGTCAATTACGAAAGCGTTGCATTATGGAATGATTCTAATTGTTTCAAGTTGATTAACTATGTGAGTTTGGATTTATATGTATGAGTTTATATATACTCTTTTCTTATAAGTCGATTATTAAAAGCGTGTTGGAAGATATCGCCTTCAACTTGTATCAATGGCGAAGACTGAACCACTTGAAACATAATTTTGATCACTAAATTATGTATTTTGTGTTGGTTTGGTCATAATCTTTCAATTGTGTCAATTTAATCTCACAAGTATTTAATTTGTGTCAGTTTAGTGTAAATTACGATCCGCATGGACTAATAGAGATAGACATGTACATGAATTGAAGGACAGTCTGAAAACTTAAGGGATTAAAAAAACACAAATTACAAACGTGACGGGTCAAAATGACGAGATTATAAACTTAAAGAATCAAAGTGAACCCTTAAATTTAACCGCATGAGACATATGCAAGTATCTCTATTAATCAATTTTAACTGTTATTTTTAATTGGACCAAAATNTTAAAAAAACACAAATTACAAACGTGACGGGTCAAAATGACGAGATTATAAACTTAAAGAATCAAAGTGACCCCTTAAATTTAACCGCATGAGACATATGCGAGTATCTCTGTTAATCAATTTTAACTGTTATTTTTAATTGGACCAAAACAATATAAATTATAAATTTAGAAGATTAAATTGACACAATTGAAGNGTATAGAATCGAAAAAATATGAACCGTAACAATGTGACTATGTGGTTGTTGTCGTAAAAGGGCGATCAATATGCTAAATTAATATTAGTGGTAAGCTTTGTGAGAAAAGGATCGTAATGCCAAACCAATATCAATAGAGTGGATCGGACCTATATTGACGTCAATTACGAAAGCGTTGCATTATGGAATGATTCTAATTGTTTCAAGTTGATTAACTATGTGAGTTTGGATTTATATGTATGAGTTTATATATACTCTTTTCTTATAAGTCGATTATTAAAAGCGTGTTGGAAGATATCGCCTTCAACTTGTATCAATGGCGAAGACTGAACCACTTGAAACATAATTTTGATCACTAAATTATGTATTTTGTGTTGGTTTGGTCATAATCTTTCAATTGTGTCAATTTAATCTCACAAGTATTTAATTTGTGTCAGTTTAGTGTAAATTACGATCCGCATGGACTAATAGAGATAGACATGTACATGAATTGAAGGACAGTCTGAAAACTTAAGGGATTAAAAAAACACAAATTACAAACGTGACGGGTCAAAATGACGAGATTATAAACTTAAAGAATCAAAGTGAACCCTTAAATTTAACCGCATGAGACATATGCGAGTATCTCTGTTAATCAATTTTAACTGTTATTTTTAATTGGACCAAAACAATATAAATTATAAATTTAGAAGATTAAATTGACACAATTGAAGGATTAAATATCAATTAACAATAAATATACAATTTAGAGACAATATATATATATATATATATATATATTATTTTTGCATATTTTTATTCTCTTTCTTTTTTATTCCTTACAACAAGTGGGCTAATTTGTAATTTGAGTTCAAAAAGAAGTGCAATTTGAGACAAGGCAAAATATCACCGACAGCAACTTAAGTTGGGTCGGAGGAGAGCAACCGGCTACAACCGGTAAAGTTTGAAGCCCATGCTGTTAACAGCACGAAATATGTAAACTGTTGCTAGTTAAGTGCTTATGAGAGTAAAGAGTTTGTAGGTGTCTGACGTTGACTGTCAATTAATGGATTACGGCCACGTCATCGGATGGGTTAAAAGGTCAACAAGTTGTTATAAAGAGTTGAGTACAAGGATTGGCCACCCAATCAGAATATGGAGGTGTCCACAATTCATCCCATAACCCAAAGCCAAAGCCTAGCTGCGGTTGGTCCCTGCCACAGGTTCAGCCGGTAAAGAATCCTTACGTTGGATTAGAGAAAACAATGCCTGATAAAATAATTGCACAGAAAGACAAAAGCTTATATAGAAGTGAGAGAGAGAGAGAGAGAGAGAGAGAGAGAGAGAGAGAGCAATGGCCTATTGATTGGGTGAAGAATCAGACATGCCCATCTTCACATTTTGCTCAAATTCACTCTCCATTTGAGCAGAAACGTGTCTCTTACAGTCCCTGATTTTTTTTAAAGATCTGTTCATAAACCCATAAATTTATAAACGTTTTTACATTGTAATCCTCTGTTTCTTGGAGAGAAATGGAGGCAAGTGTTGGAATGCTGGCTGGATCTCACAAGAGGAACGAGTTTGTTCGAATTCGGCACGATTCGGATAGTGGGGTATGGATTTTGGAGATACCCATTTGGATTTTGAGTTTATAATTGTTTGATTTATTTATTATTGGTGGGTTTAGATCTGAGTGTGTTCTTGTGTTGAACTGAATTTTGGGCTCAAGTTCGGTTTTTTGGATTGAATCTGGATGTCGCCATGTGGGTACTGGTTGATTTTGATTCTAAGTCCAAAGTTGGCTTTTGTTAGCATTTTCTTCAGTTTCTGCTTTAAATGTTGTGTCATTGTGTGTAAATCTGAGTGTTGGTTGTAGTAATATAGGTTTTTTATGGAATAATGAAATGGGTACGGGTTAATTTTGATTTTGACTCTTGAATTTGTTGAATTGAGGGCTTCTCTTTTCATTTATTTGGTTAGCATTTCCAGATTTGGATGTGAGATAGCTGTATGATAGTGAGATTTGAGCTCAAAGTTAGAGTTATTTTTTTCTTTCTTCTTTCTTAATGGAAAGAAAAGCAATTGAATTTGGTGATTTTACGGTTGAGGTTCAAATTTGGTTTTCTTGGAGCTCTGATCTTGTGGAAACTGTTTGTTTATGACGTGATTTTAGTGTTTACTATAAAATATAGCCTCTTTTTCCGTGAGTTTTTTTAAAGTCTACTTTTCTCTTCAAATATGACTGTTAATATGCCAAAAAAGCTGAGGTTTTGATGATTGGATCTAGTTTCAATGTGCCTTTTTCCCAATCTATTTACTGATTTTAGCTGAAATCTTGATAATTTAGTTCATCGAGTTATTGCCTTTACTGGGGAATCTGAACTGTATCCGCTATCATCTAAGCAAGATTGTCACTTTCCTTCTCTGTCTCTTATCTTTGCGTTTTCTGAGATCTGCTTACACCTCTGCATATTGCTATGAATTAATTTGAGATCATTGGCTGTTTGCTACAGGGGTTTGTGTTGTTCAAGTTTTAAGGTTATTCACTAAATATGGTAGATGAGAAATTAGGCTGGGTTGACTTATTTGTAATGCTTTCACCCCTTTTCAGCTACTTAGTTGCATTGCATAGAGGTTTCAGAGGTGGAGTGTTCTAGGGTGCATGCAAAACCAATATTAGTAAGCAATTTAAAAAGTTTCATCTGGATAAATTGAGGGTGGGCGTAAGTAAATGGGCCAGTCATTGCCCCCCTTATAGATTGCTCAGTTTCTGAATATGGCGCTTGATAAGATCTTGAGCAAAGCTTGGTTGCAGTTTGTGTGTCTACCTTAGGTAATGTTATACTCTGTCACACTAACTTAGTGCATTACTTCTATTTTGCAGCCCAAGCCGATGAAGCATTTGAATGGACAGATATGTCAGATTTGTGGAGATACTGTTGGATTTACTGCTACCGGTGATGTATTTGTTGCCTGCAATGAGTGTGCCTTCCCAGTTTGCCGGCCTTGCTATGAGTATGAGCGGAAAGATGGAAATCAGTCCTGTCCCCAGTGCAAGACTAGATACAAAAGACAGAAAGGTTAGCTTGATTTGAAAATTGGCTCTTGATCCTCCTGTCTCATAATTTTGTCTTATAAACATTTGGGATTTGGAAATGAAGTAATTAGATGTGTAAATTTCAGGAAGTCCTCGAGTTGAAGGTGATGATGATGAAGATGATGTTGATGACCTGGAGAATGAGTTTAATTATGCTCAAGGAAACAGCAAAGCCAGACGCCAGTGGCAGGGAGAAGATGCTGACCTCTCTTCATCCTCTAGGCATGAATCTCAGCAACCGATTCCCCTTCTTACAAATGGGCAGCCAGTAAGTGATAAAAACTATGATGTTTTTATACAAGGATTATTGTGTGTTTTGTTCTCTGGACATGCTTCTGAGTGATGCTATTTTCCTTTTAAGTTTTGCCGNATATATTATTTTTGCATATTTTTATTCTCTTTCTTTTTTATTCCTTACAACAAGTGGGCTAATTTGTAATTTGAGTTCAAAAAGAAGTGCAATTTGAGACAAGGCAAAATATCACCGACAGCAACTTAAGTTGGGTCGGAGGAGAGCAACCGGCTACAACCGGTAAAGTTTGAAGCCCATGCTGTTAACAGCACGAAATATGTAAACTGTTGCTAGTTAAGTGCTTATGAGAGTAAAGAGTTTGTAGGTGTCTGACGTTGACTGTCAATTAATGGATTACGGCCACGTCATCGGATGGGTTAAAAGGTCAACAAGTTGTTATAAAGAGTTGAGTACAAGGATTGGCCACCCAATCAGAATATGGAGGTGTCCACAATTCATCCCATAACCCAGAGCCAAAGCCAAAGCCAAAGCCAAAGCCAAAGCCTAGCTGCGGTTGGTCCCTGCCACAGGTTCAGCCGGTAAAGAATCCTTACGTTGGATTAGAGAAAACAATGCCTGATAAAATAATTGCACAGAAAGACAAAAGCTTATATAGAAGTGAGAGAGAGAGAGAGAGAGAGAGAGAGAGAGAGAGAGCAATGGCCTATTGATTGGGTGAAGAATCAGACATGCCCATCTTCACATTTTGCTCAAATTCACTCTCCATTTGAGCAGAAACGTGTCTCTTACAGTCCCTGATTTTTTTTAAAGATCTGTTCATAAACCCATAAATTTATAAACGTTTTTACATTGTAATCCTCTGTTTCTTGGAGAGAAATGGAGGCAAGTGTTGGAATGCTGGCTGGATCTCACAAGAGGAACGAGTTTGTTCGAATTCGGCACGATTCGGATAGTGGGGTATGGATTTTGGAGATACCCATTTGGATTTTGAGTTTATAATTGTTTGATTTATTTATTATTGGTGGGTTTAGATCTGAGTGTGTTCTTGTGTTGAACTGAATTTTGGGCTCAAGTTCGGTTTTTTGGATTGAATCTGGATGTCGCCATGTGGGTACTGGTTGATTTTGATTCTAAGTCCAAATTTGGCTTTTGTTAGCATTTTCTTCAGTTTCTGCTTTAAATGTTGTGTCATTGTGTGTAAATCTGAGTGTTGGTTGTAGTAATATAGCTTTTTTATGGAATAATGAAATGGGTACGGGTTAATTTTGATTTTGACTCTTGAATTTGTTGAATTGAGGTCTTCTCTTTTCATTTATTTGGTTAGCATTTCCAGATTTGGATGTGAGATAGCTGTATGATAGTGAGATTTGAGCTCAAAGTTAGAGTTATTGTTTTCTTTCTTCTTTCTTAATGGAAAGAAAAACAATTGAATTTGGTGATTTGACGGTTGAGGTTCAAATTTGGTTTTCTTGGAGCTCTGATCTTGTGGAAACTGTTTGTTTATGACGTGATTTTAGTGTTTACTATAAAATATAGCCTCTTTTTCCGTGAGTTTTTTTAAAGTCTACTTTTCTCTTCAAATATGACTGTTAATATGCCAAAAAAGCTGAGGTTTTGATGATTGGATCTAGTTTCAATGTGCCTTTTTCCCAATCTATTTACTGATTTTAGCTGAAATCTTGATAATTTAGTTTATCGAGTTATTGCCTTTACTGGGGAATCTGAACTATATCCGCTATCATCTAAGCAAGATTGTCACTTTCCTTCTCTGTCTCTTATCTTTGCGTTTTCTGAGATCTGCTTACACCTCTGCATATTGCTATGAATTAATTTGAGATCATTGGCTGTTTGCTACAGGGGTTTGTGTTGTTCAAGTTTTAAGGTTATTCACTAAATATGGTAGATGAGAAATTAGGCTGGGTTGACTTATTTGTAATGCTTTCACCCCTTTTCAGCTACTTAGTTGCATTGTATAGAGGTTTCAGAGGTGGAGTGTTCTAGGGTGCATGCAAAACCAATATTAGTAAGCAATTTAAAAAATTTCATCTGGATAAATTGAGGGTGGGCGTAAGTAAATGGGCCAGTCATTGCCCCCCTTATAGATTGCTCAGTTTCTGAATATGGCGCTTGATAAGATCTTGAGCAAAGCTTGGTTGCAGTTTGTGTGTCTACCTTAGGTAATGTTCTACTCTGTCACACTAACTTAGTGCATTGCTTCTATTTTGCAGCCCAAGCCGATGAAGCATTTGAATGGACAGATATGTCAGATTTGTGGAGATACTGTTGGATTTACTGCTACCGGTGATGTATTTGTTGCCTGCAATGAGTGTGCCTTCCCAGTTTGCCGGCCTTGCTATGAGTATGAGCGGAAAGATGGAAATCAGTCCTGTCCCCAGTGCAAGACTAGATACAAAAGACAGAAAGGTTAGCTTGATTTGAAAATTGGCTCTTGATCCTCCTGTCTCATAATTTTGTCTTATAAACATTTGGGATTTGGAAATGAAGTAATTAGATGTGTAAATTTCAGGAAGTCCTCGAGTTGAAGGTGATGATGATGAAGATGATGTTGATGACCTGGAGAATGAGTTTAATTATGCTCAAGGAAACAGCAAAGCCAGACGCCAGTGGCAGGGAGAAGATGCTGACCTCTCTTCATCCTCTAGGCATGAATCTCAGCAACCGATTCCCCTTCTTACAAATGGGCAGCCAGTAAGTGATAAAAACTATGATGTTTTTATACAAGGATTATTGTGTGTTTTGTTATCTGGACATGCTTCTGAATGATGCTATTTTCCTTTTAAATTTTGCCACCTTCTCTATTGTTTGGTGTTCGAATGATATTGCATTTGGCTTTTCTCAGTTTTGCTTTCTTTGTTTCTAGTCCCAACAAATGTGCTAGAATCTTGCACCTTTCTTGAAAACTTGGGTTCTTAAGTTTGAATTGCAGTATGACCTCTGAAGTTAGAATGATCATTGATTCTAAGCAATGCATGATTTAGAGCCCATTGGATGTGTTCTTTTAACAGTTTTTTGTATTTGAAAATTAGTTGCTGCATGGTCGAGTCCAATTGGTTTACCTGGCTTGACTGTAAAGGATTTTGTATTGGAAATATCATATTTAGTCACTGAGAATTGGTCAACTTCCAAAAACAGCTACTTGGTAGGAGCATTATNGAGAGTAAAGAGTTTGTAGGTGTCTGACGTTGACTGTCAATTAATGGATTACGGCCACGTCATCGGATGGGTTAAAAGGTCAACAAGTTGTTATAAAGAGTTGAGTACAAGGATTGGCCACCCAATCAGAATATGGAGGTGTCCACAATTCATCCCATAACCCAAAGCCAAAGCCTAGCTGCGGTTGGTCCCTGCCACAGGTTCAGCCGGTAAAGAATCCTTACGTTGGATTAGAGAAAACAATGCCTGATAAAATAATTGCACAGAAAGACAAAAGCTTATATGGAAGTNGTTTCCTTTTGTGATTAACTCATGACAATGACAAGCAGTTTTGTTCAAGATTGCAATGTCATTTAATACCACAGATTCATGCTATCATTCCTGGAAAGTCTTCAGTTTTAAAACTTTTTGCCGATCATCTTGCCAAAAATTTCAGGTATCTGGCGAAATTCCCATTGCTACACCAGACNGAGAGCAATGGCCTATTGATTGGGTGAAGAATCAGACATGCCCATCTTCACATTTTGCTCAAATTCACTCTCCATTTGAGCAGAAACGTGTCTCTTACAGTCCCTGATTTTTTTTAAAGATCTGTTCATAAACCCATAAATTTATAAACGTTTTTACATTGTAATCCTCTGTTTCTTGGAGAGAAATGGAGGCNACAAGCATGTTCACTCACTTCAATATATCGATCCAAGGCAGCCAGGTACACCCCTAACTTGAATCTCTTGATTGAAAATCGTCCAATGACTTTATCTTTTCAATTGAGAGTCATTTGATCGTGCCACATTTCTGGGCAGTNAAATGGAGGCAAGTGTTGGAATGCTGGCTGGATCTCACAAGAGGAACGAGTTTGTTCGAATTCGGCACGATTCGGATAGTGGGGTATGGATTTTGGAGATACCCATTTGGATTTTGAGTTTATAATTGTTTGATTTATTTATTATTGGTGGGTTTAGATCTGAGTGTGTTCTTGTGTTGAACTGAATTTTGGGCTCAAGTTCGGTTTTTTGGATTGAATCTGGATGTCGCCATGTGGGTACTGGTTGATTTTGATTCTAAGTCCAAATTTGGCTTTTGTTAGCATTTTCTTCAGTTTCTGCTTTAAATGTTGTGTCATTGTGTGTAAATCGGAGTGTTGGTTGTAGTAATATAGCTTTTTTATGGAATAATGAAATGGGAACGGGTTAATTTTGATTTTGACTCTTGAATTTGTTGAATTGAGGTNTTAAAAATGTCACAGATGAAAAAAAATGTCACAGATGAGTGAAGACATATTTGAAATCGNAAAAAAAAGCAAAAAAAAATTTAGAGTAAATATATTGAGCCCTTTTAGATTTTGCTATTATTTTTATTGAATAACAAGATTCCTTTATACGGACATGGTCCTCCGGAGGTGGAGCCAAAGTGGTGTAATGTCCTTGTGATTCATAAGCTTTCTTTCCAAACTGCTTCAGGGTGGTTTCATCATTTACTATGAGTTAAGTCATGAAGNATTTGGATGTGAGATAGCTGTATGATAGTGAGATTTGAGCTCAAAGTTAGAGTTATTGTTTTCTTTCTTCTTTCTTAATGGAAAGAAAAACAATTGAATTTGGTGATTTGNTTCCCTTTTTTTTCAACTTGCTTCTGGGAGGCGTATAATTTTACCCAAGAAAATTTGAAATGAATCTAAGGTATTCCAGTATTTTGGTGGGTCATGCATTAGGGTGGGTTTAGAATATGAGTAAATGATACATCATTGGTATTTGTTATTAACTTAATANCTGTTTGTTTATGACGTGATTTTAGTGTTTACTATAAAATATAGCCTCTTTTTCCGTCGGTTTTTAAAGTCTACTTTTCTCTTCAAATATGACTGTTAATATGCCAAAAAAGCTGAGGTTTTGATGATTGGATCTAGTTTCAATGTGCCTTTTTCCCAATCTATTTACTGATTTTAGCTGAAATCTTGATAATTTAGTTTATCGAGTTATTGCCTTTACTGGGGAATCTGAACTATATCCGCTATCATCTAAGCAAGATTGTCACTTTCCTTCTCTGTCTCTTATCTTTGCGTTTTCTGAGATCTGCTTACACCTCTGCATATTGCTATGAATTAATTTGAGATCATTGGCTGTTTGCTACAGGGGTTTGTGTTGTTCAAGTTTTAAGGTTATTCACTAAATATGGTAGATGAGAAATTAGGCTGGGTTGACTTATTTGTAATGCTTTCACCCCTTTTCAGCTACTTAGTTGCATTGCATAGAGGTTTCAGAGGTGGAGTGTTCTAGGGTGCATGCAAAACCAATATTAGTAAGCAATTTAAAAAGTTTCATCTGGATAAATTGAGGGTGGGCGTAAGTAAATGGGCCAGTCATTGCCCCCCTTATAGATTGCTCAGTTTCTGAATATGGCGCTTGATAAGATCTTGAGCAAAGCTTGGTTGCAGTTTGTGTGTCTACCTTAGGTAATGTTCTACTCTGTCACACTAACTTAGTGCATTGCTTCTATTTTGCAGCCCAAGCCGATGAAGCATTTGAATGGACAGATATGTCAGATTTGTGGAGATACTGTTGGATTTACTGCTACCGGTGATGTATTTGTTGCCTGCAATGAGTGTGCCTTCCCAGTTTGCCGGCCTTGCTATGAGTATGAGCGGAAAGATGGAAATCAGTCCTGTCCCCAGTGCAAGACTAGATACAAAAGACAGAAAGGTTAGCTTGATTTGAAAATTGGCTCTTGATCCTCCTGTCTCATAATTTTGTCTTATAAACATTTGGGATTTGGAAATGAAGTAATTAAATGTGTAAATTTCAGGAAGTCCTCGAGTTGAAGGTGATGATGATGAAGATGATGTTGATGACCTGGAGAATGAGTTTAATTATGCTCAAGGAAACAGCAAAGCCAGACGCCAGTGGCAGGGAGAAGATGCTGACCTCTCTTCATCCTCTAGGCATGAATCTCAGCAACCGATTCCCCTTCTTACAAATGGGCAGCCAGTAAGTGATAAAAACTATGATGTTTTTATTCAAGGATTATTGTGTGTTTTGTTATCTGGACATGCTTCTGAATGATGCTATTTTCCTTTTAAATTTTGCCACCTTCTCTATTGTTTGGTGTTCGAATGATATTGCATTTGGCTTTTCTCAGTTTTGCTTTCTTTGTTTCTAGTCCCAACAAATGTGCTAGAATCTTGCACCTTTCTTGAAAACTTGGGTTCTTAAGTTTGAATTGCAGTATGACCTCTGAAGTTAGAATGATCATTGATTCTAAGCAATGCATGATTTAGAGCCCATTGGATGTGTTCTTTGAACAGTTTTTTGTATTTGAAAATTAGTTGCTGCATGGTCCAGTCCAATTGGTTTACCTGGCTTGATTCGAAAGGATTTTGTATTGGAAATATCATATTTAGTCACTGAGAATTGGTCAACTTCCGAAAACAGCTACTTGGTAGGAGCATTACCGCAATGGGTATTTACGTACAATTCTGCAAAAACTCCCTTTCATTTGTAGTTGGGAACGATATTATTTTTTTATCAAGTTTCCTTTTGTGATTAACTCATGACAATGACAAGCAGTTTTGTTCAAGATTTCAATTTCATTTAATACCACAAATTCATGCAATCATTCCTGGAAAGTCCTTCAGTTTTAAAACTTTTTGCCGATCATCTTGCCAAAAATTTCAGGTATCTGGTGAAATTCCCATTGCTACACCAGACACGCAATCTGTACGAAGTACCTCAGGTCCTTTGGGCCCTAGCGACAAGCATGTTCACTCACTTCAATATATCGATCCAAGGCAGCCAGGTACACCCCTAATTTGAATCTCTTGATTGAAAATCGTCCAATGATTTTATCTTTTCAATTGAGATTCATTTGATCGTGCCACATTTCTGGGCAGCTCCTGTAAGAATTGTGGGACCTTTTTAACTAGAATCCGTCAATTGCTCAATCAGAAATTTTCTTTTGTACTATTTGTATGATTGTTTGGTTTGAATTGCAATCATTTGATATTGTCATGTATCTTTGCAGTTCCTGTGAGAATTGTGGATCCTTCAAAAGATTTGAATTCTTATGGCCTTGGCAATGTGGACTGGAAGGAAAGGGTAGAAGGTTGGAAAATGAAACAGGAGAAAAATATGATGCAAATGACCAACAGAAACAGTGAAGGGAAAGGAGACATTGAAGGCACAGGGTCAAATGGAGAAGAATTGCAAATGTGAGCATCTTACTCATGAAGTTTCTCTAGATTTTGGGTAAATTGCCTATTAAAAATGTCACAGATGAAAAAATTTGTCACAGATGAGTGAAGACATATTTGAATTCGCAATGAGAATGCAATTATTTGGTGGGAGCCCCGTCCACTGGGTTGCCTTTTTTTTTATCTCACAGATGAGTGAAGACATGTTTCAAAGCACATGAGAATGCAACTATTTGTTGGGAGCCTCTTTGACTAGGCTTCCCTTTTTTTTCAACTTGCTTCTGGGAGGCGTATAATTTTACCCAAGAAAATTTGAAATGAATCTAATGTATTCCATTATTTTGGTGGGTCATGCATTAGGGTGGGTTTAGAATATGAGTAAATGATACATCATTGGTATTTGTTATTAACTTGATATTTATTTACAACTCAACAATATAGGTTACTATCGTTTTGCCAACTTCATTGCTCATTTTTTATTGCTTAGTATTGCTATGGGATTTTACCATTATCACGTGTTGTGGAAGGAAAAAAATGGAATATTATTTTGTCAAGTAACCATAATTTCTAAACATATCTCCAGAATATTGATAGGTTCTTTGTGTCAGGGCTGATGATGCTCGCCAACCTTTGAGCCGTGTGGTGCCTATTTCTTCTTCCCACCTAACCCCTTACCGTGTAATAATCATACTTCGGTTGGTTATCTTGGGCTTTTTCTTGCAATACCGGTGTACTCATCCAGTGAATGATGCTTATCCCTTGTGGCTGACATCAGTAATTTGTGAGGTTTGGTTTGCATTCTCGTGGCTTCTGGATCAGTTTCCAAAGTGGTTTCCCATCAATCGCGAGACCTATCTGGACAGGCTTGCGTTAAGGTCGGTGGATTTATTTTAGTTGCAAAACACCCCACATGTAGTTGTTATGGGTTTCTATTCTACAGAGATCTCTGTGGGATTGGTTTCATTGCCAAATTATTTATTATTTCTACTTTTCCAGATATGATAGGGAAGGTGAGCCTTCTCAGTTAGCACCGATTGATGTATTTGTCAGTACAGTGGATCCCCTGAAAGAGCCTCCTCTGGTTACTGCCAACACTGTATTGTCCATCCTTGCCGTGGATTACCCTGTCGACAAAGTCTCATGTTATGTTTCAGATGATGGTTCAGCAATGTTAACTTTTGAAGCCCTCTCTGAGACGGCAGAGTTTGCAAGGAAATGGGTGCCCTTCTGCAAGAAGCACAACATTGAGCCTAGAGCCCCTGAATTCTATTTTGCTCAGAAGATAGATTATCTGAAGGACAAGATACAGCCTTCTTTTGTGAAAGAGCGCAGGGCCATGAAGGTACGAGATTAGTTGAGTGATGATGGTTCTTGTGTGTTGGATAAGCATGCTGAATATACTCTTTGAAGGTTGCTAGTTGTACTTTAAGCATGATATGTTAAATTCAGAACTTAATTGGAAGCGGTTAATACTTTGCGTTGCAATCAAAAACTCATCCATAATTCTATAGAAATGAGGGTTAAAAAAAAAAAAAAAAGCAAAAAAAAATTTAGAGTAAATATATTGAGCCCTTTTAGATTTTGCTATTATTTTTATTGAATAACAAGATTCCTTTATACGGACATGGTCCTCCGGAGGTGGAGCCAAAGTGGTGTAATGTCCTTGTGATTCATAAGCTTTGTTTCCAAACTGCTTCAGGGTGGTTTCATCATTTACTATGAGTTAAGTCATGAATTTATTGGGGTCATTAAAGGAGTACTGTAGCTTTTGTTATGTTGTTAAAAGGAATTCAGTTCTGTGCAATTTCAAAATCCTCAGGCATTGTCCATAAATTTATTAAATGCTGTGGCAACATTTGATTTTCTTTCTTTAAACTAAAAGCAAGGTAAACTTCTTGTTCCACAGAGAGAATACGAAGAATTCAAGGTACGAATCAATGCACTTGTTGCTAAAGCACAAAAGATGCCTGAAGAGGGCTGGACGATGCAAGATGGAACTCCTTGGCCCGGAAATAACCCAAGGGATCATCCAGGAATGATCCAGGTATTGTGGATGTTATTGAATGTCTCTTAACATCAAGCCTCTTTACTTTTTCTTTTGTTTCTAATTTTTTCTTTGTTTTGATGAGTGGGCAGGTGTTCTTAGGGCATAGTGGGGGCCTTGATACAGATGGGAATGAGCTACCACGCCTTGTTTATGTTTCTCGTGAAAAGCGTCCAGGCTTCCAACATCACAAAAAAGCTGGAGCTATGAATGCTTTGGTTAGTGATCCCCATAGCTGTTGTGCACTTAGCAATCTTGTCCTGAACATGATTTGTAATAACAAAGTTGTCTGCNATGAGGACAAGACTGAGTGGGGCAAAGAGGTATTGATGATACTAATGTGGCATCTAAACCTGTATTCGGTTTCTTTTACAAATTGTATTTGCAATTTGAAATTTGAATTGAGTGAGATTTTTCTTCACAATCAGATCGGTTGGATCTACGGTTCTGTGACTGAAGATATTTTGACTGGGTTCAAGATGCACGCACGGGGATGGATATCAATCTATTGCATGCCTCCCCGTCCAGCATTTAAGGGGTCTGCTCCCATCAATCTTTCTGATCGTTTGAACCAGGTCCTTCGATGGGCTTTGGGATCAATTGAAATTCTTCTGAGCAGGCATTGCCCAATATGGTATGGCTACACTGGAAGACTGAAGCTTTTGGAGAGGATCGCATACATTAACACCATTGTCTATCCCCTCACCTCTATTCCACTGCTTGCTTACTGCATACTTCCTGCAATCTGTCTTCTTACTGGAAAGTTTATCATTCCTCAGGTAAGTGATGAATTTCACATTGGTTGGTTGAAATGAATCTAGTGCATCTTTTAAGCATCAATCTATGGTTGGTCAGTTCAATTTCTCTGCTTACATGTGTATTCACTAGAACAGTGGATACTGTTTGGTAAGCCCCAAATTTTGGCCAAAGGCATGTAGTTTGGATCTAGCTGCCAGTGCATTTGGTAATCCACCTGGTCACCATATTCCAAATACCTGACTACAAGGACTGAAAATTTATTAAAATGCAAAAGCTGTTCCTTTTTCTTCTTTTTCCTTTCTGTGGTCGGTTTAGAATATTCTGGATGTATGTAACTATTCACTTCTGTTTGATTTCTCCTTTTTTATTAATTTCACGCCCCTATTTTTTATTTTAGTTCCTTGTTGGACATCTCTGGTGCCGCTAATCTCCTTTCGNTGGTTAGTGATCCCCATAGCTGTTGTGCACTTAGCAATCTTGTCCTGAACATGATTTGTAATAACAAAGTTGTCTGCTAATATAGATGGTGCAGTAACTTTGCACCTATATTATTGTAATACTACTACTTTGAAATGATCAGGTTATGCATATTAGGTACCATATAGGAATCCAATGTTGGTTTGATGGTTTGAATTGACTTTTTTAGTACCCATTATTGGATGGGACCTGTGGGACCACCCAAAAACAGATGCTTTTTAGCGTTTTTAGTTCCAGGTCTAGTTAAGCTAGTTTCCTATTTTTAATGAGTTGCTCTTATTATTTTTGCGATTAATCACACTGCCACATCAATTGTACATAGGATGCTGGCTTAACTTACAATGAAAAACATGTGTATGATCCATGGAACCTTTTTTTTTTTGGTAGTTGAATGTAAGCAGTTGCCTGCGCCCCATTCCCCTTAAATATAAACTTTAAAACCAATTTCATATCTCTCTTGCTAATCAACAAATTATTCTTTTGTTTGTGTTCTACAGATTCGAGTTTCTGCCGTCCTTACCAATGGTGCATATCTTTTGAATGTCGATTGTGATCACTACTTTAATAACAGTAAAGCTCTTAAAGAAGCTATGTGTTTTTTGATGGATCCTGCCCTTGGAAGGAAAACTTGTTATGTTCAGTTCCCCCAACGGTTTGATGGCATTGACTTGCATGATCGATATGCAAATCGCAATATTGTCTTCTTTGATGTAAGTTCACTTAATCTGACACCACCCTTGCAACTGTTCTGACTGCATTATTTTTTGTTATGCTTATAATTGAATTCATTTTTAACTTAAATGGATTTGCAGATCAACATGAAAGGGCAGGATGGCATTCAGGGTCCAGTCTACGTGGGAACTGGATGTTGTTTCAACAGGCAAGCTCTGTATGGGTATGATCCAGTCTTAACGGAGGCAGATTTGGAACCAAACATTATTGTCAAGAGTTGTTGTGGCTCAAGGAAAAAGGGAAGGAATGGCAACAAGAAGTACATTGATAAGAAGAGAGCAATTAAAAGAACTGAATCCACCATTCCCATTTTCAATATGGAAGATATTGATGAGGGTGTCGAAGGTAGGTTCTTGTAATAAGTTCACTTCTCTTTTGAATTAACAGAAGCTGCAAACCAATTAACTTCTATCAATTGGGCCGAAGACTTAAAATTACACATGTACCAACACACCTGCATCCACTCACCCGCACATTCACTGTTGAAAGTGCAGATAGATTTCAGATCAAGCTTTTGAATTTTTGTTCGTTCTGATTCTTTTATTTGGAGGTTTTATTCACCACTTACTTGCAATATCTCCCAATCTATGAGGGTATGTTTATGTATACATGTATATTTAGATGCAACATTATGTTTTTGAGTAATGTTAACCATTTTTTACTAATTTCCACTGGAGGTTTTCCCTTCCAGTAATTCAACAAAAGCTTTCCAAAACATTGAAAATTTGTAACCTATTTCTATTTTTCCTAAGTTGAATTTTCAACCTATTTCAACGGTAAAGCTGATGTGGCACACTGGTCTCCGTGGACCAATGTATACTTAGGTGAGATATACTAACCACCAAGTCAATGCTCAGAATGGTACAGAAACAGAGCGATTGAGATATTTTCAGTGACTTGCTGCTTTCAGGCTATTTATGTTGAGTCCTTTCCTTGTATTTTACAGGATATGATGATGAGAAGTCGCTTCTTATGTCTCAGAAGAGCTTAGAAAAGCGGTTTGGTCAATCTCCGGTGTTTATTGCTGCCACCTTCATGGAGCAGGGAGGGATTCCACCAACAACTAATCCTGCAACTCTTTTAAAAGAAGCAATCCACGTTATTAGCTGTGGATATGAGGACAAGACTGAATGGGGCAAAGAGGTATTGATGATACTAATGTGGCATCTAAACCTGTATTTGGTTTCTTTTACAAATTGTATTTGCAATTTGAAATTTGAATTGAGTGAGATTTTTCTTCACAATCAGATCGGTTGGATCTACGGTTCTGTGACTGAAGATATTTTGACTGGGTTCAAGATGCACGCACGGGGATGGATATCAATCTATTGCATGCCTCCCCGTCCAGCATTTAAGGGGTCTGCTCCAATCAATCTTTCTGATCGTTTGAACCAGGTCCTTCGATGGGCTTTGGGATCAATTGAAATTCTTCTGAGCAGGCATTGCCCAATATGGTATGGCTACACTGGAAGACTGAAGCTTTTGGAGAGGATCGCATACATTAACACCATTGTCTATCCCCTCACCTCTATTCCACTGCTTGCTTACTGCATACTTCCTGCAATCTGTCTTCTTACTGGAAAGTTTATCATTCCTCAGGTAAGTGATGAATTTCACATTGGTTGGTTGAAATGAATCTAGTGCATCTTTTAAGCATCAATCTATGGTTGGTCAGTTCAATTTCTCTGCTTACATGTGTATTCACTAGAACAGTGGATACTGTTTGGTAAGCCCCAAATTTTGGCCAAAGGCATGTAGTTTGGATCTAGCTGCCAGTGCATTTGGTAATCACCTGGTCACCATATTCCAAATACCTGACTACAAGGACTGAAAATTTGTTAAAATGCAAAAGCTGTTCCTTTTTCTTCTTTTTCCTTTCTGTGGTCGGTTGAGAATATTCTGGATGTATGTAACTATTCACTTCTGTTTGATTTCTCCTTTTTTATTTCTTTTTATTAATTTCACGCCCCTATTTTTTATTTTAGTTCCTTGTTGGTCATCTCTGGTGCCCGCTAATCTCCTTTCACATTGACATGCTTTTCACGTCTTGAAAGCACAAAGTTATTTTCTTAATATAATCACTATTCTATTTCTTGAATGAGATCATGGGCATGTCAGTCCTTATTGGGCAATAGTGCAGGTTAGCTTGGAAATTGGAGACCTTGCGATTGCTACTTCGCAGTCCTCACTAAATATGTTACAATTTCTCTGCAGATAAGCAACTTTGCTAGTATGTGGTTTATTCTTCTCNTATAAGTCACAACTGATAATATCACAATTACAAGTAGACTAATGAATACCTGTCTTTTCTAGCCTTAGCCATTTATCGGGCAAAACCACTCATCCCTGTTAGGATTGAAAACCCAATACTAGGGAGAGGTACATCAACAATAGAATAGAATTGTCAAGCTAATCAGAAAGTGTCAAGAGTTACTTGTGTTTCTTATGCAATAACCATAAATTGTATATAATGTTAAGAGTGTACATCAAATAATATAACTGTCAAGTTAATCAAAAAGTGTGTAGAGTTACTTATATTTAATTATTTATTATGTCACAATCATAAATTTAATCCGATAATGACCCCAACATATTCAAAATTTATTCAAATTGGCTCATAATATGTTTGAAAGTGTGACAGGAATTTCATATTCATTGAGGTATCTATACTAATTAGTTTGACAAAAAAATAATAGAGGGCGGGAATTATCAAATACGGTTATGAGATCGACATAATAAAGTACGAGGCATTTCTAGATTCTCCCGAGGCATGAAAATGACTTTCTCTTTTGCTGTTCAAATTTATCTAAATTCCTCAAAATTTGATTTGAAGGTTAATATTTTACCAAGTAATTTTTAGATTTTTACCCAAAATACCACGTCAACATTACTACCTAACGTAACCATCCCATAAAAAAACAAGAAAATAAATAAAGTAGACCCCATTGTCTTACATGGAGGTGGTCACATATAACATGGATGGATAGTTACTGAATTTTGTTGGACTTGCTTGTTTATTCATTTATTAGTGAACGGTTACACCACATGACATTATTGACGTGGTATAACCGTTACATCTAATATTTTCTCCACTTTTAGGTCCATTAAGGTTACATAAACATCTTCTGCACAACCTCCTCCTCTTAGACAAAATGATAAAGGAAAAGTCAGAGACCCATCTACAAAAACTTTGTATAGGAATCCACAAAGAAAATTCCTTTTGGGCTTGACTTAAGGAAACTTCATTTTGTGGTGCTATGTAACCAATTGCTACAATCTCCCATAAGTCTTGAGATCCAAGAATTGCCTTTATGCAGATACACCAATTCTCATAGTTATCTTTGGTGAATGGAGGCATTTGAAATAGAAACATTCCATTTGTCATCTCTCATACTTTTTTTTTTCAACACTCAAGTCTAGTTCTGATACCACTTTGTTGAAATCTAGAGGACTATCACACACTCACTAAAAAATATAATAGAAGAGACTATTAAACANCTTGAGATCCAAGAATTGCCTTTATGCGGATACACCAATTCTCATAGTTATCTTTGATGAATGGAGGCATTTGAAATAGAAACATTCTATTTGTCATCTCTCATACTTTTTCTTTTCAACACTCATACCTAGTTCTGATACCACTTTGTTAGAATCTAGAGGACTATTACACACTCACTAAAAAATATAATAGAAGAGACTATTAAAAATAANCAAGTCTAGTTCTGATACCACTTTGTTGAAATCTAGAGGACTATTACACACTCACTAAAAAATATAATAGAAGAGACTATTAAACATAGGAAGAACTCTTTCTATTTATCCATATCCAAGTGGATGTATTATATAAGATATACATGGTTTTAGGTTTTCAATCAAGGTGTGTGCTCTGTCTTTTTCTTCTATTATATTAGCAACATTTCCAAACCACCTTAAACGCATTCCATATCTCAACAAATACTCGACTGGAATATCATGATCTTCTGGGAGTAGGCAACACAGTATNATTGCTGCCACCTTCATGGAGCAGGGAGGGATTCCACCAACAACTAATCCTGCAACTCTTTTAAAAGAAGCAATCCACGTTATTAGCTGTGGATATGAGGACAAGACCGAATGGGGCAAAGAGGTATTGATGATACTAATGTGGCATCTAAACCTGTATTCGGTTTCTTTTACATNGGTTCTTGTAATAAGTTCACTTCTCTTTTGAATTAACAGAAGCTGCAAACCAATTAACTTCTATCAATTGGGCCGAAGACTTAAAATTACACATGTACCAACACACCTGCATCCACTCACCCGCACATTCACTGTTGAAAGTGCAGATAGATTTCAGATCAAGCTTTTGAATTTTTGTTCGTTCTGATTCTTTTATTTGGAGGTTTTATTCACCACTTACTAGCAATATCTCCCAATCTATGAGGGTATGTTTATGTATACATGTATATTTAGATGCAACATTATGTTTTTGAGTAATGTTAACCATTTTTTACTACTTTCCACTGGAGGTTTTCCCTTCCAGTAATTCAACAAAAGCTTTCCAAAACATTGAAAATTTGTAACCTATTTCTATTTTTCCTAAGTTGAATTTTCAACCTATTTCAACGGTAAAGCTGATGTGGCACACTGGTCTCCGTGGGCCAATGTATACTTAGGTGAGATATCCTAACCACCAAGTCAATGCTCAGAATGGTACAGAAACAAGGCGATTGAGATATTTTCAGTGACTTGCTGCTTTCAGGCTATTTATGTTGAGTCCTTTCCTTGTATTTTACAGGATATGATGATGAGAAGTCGCTTCTTATGTCTCAGAAGAGCTTAGAAAAGCGGTTTGGTCAATCTCCGGTGTTTATTGCTGCCACCTTCATGGAGCAGGGAGGGATTCCACCAACAACTAATCCTGCAACTCTTTTAAAAGAAGCAATCCACGTTATTAGCTGTGGATATGAGGACAAGACTGAGTGGGGCAAAGAGGTATTGATGATACTAATGTGGCATCTAAACCTGTATTTGGTTTCTTTTACAAATTGTATTTGCAATTTGAAATTTGAATTGAGTGAGATTTTTCTTCACAATCAGATCGGTTGGATCTACGGTTCTGTGACTGAAGATATTTTGACTGGGTTTAAGATGCACGCACGGGGATGGATATCAATCTATTGCATGCCTCCCCGTCCAGCATTTAAGGGGTCTGCTCCCATCAATCTTTCTGATCGTTTGAACCAGGTCCTTCGATGGGCTTTGGGATCAATTGAAATTCTTCTGAGCAGGCATTGCCCAATATGGTATGGCTACACTGGAAGACTGAAGCTTTTGGAGAGGATCGCATACATTAACACCATTGTCTATCCCCTCACCTCTATTCCACTGCTTGCTTACTGCATACTTCCTGC